AAAGCCGATGACCTGATATGTGCCCTTAAAGGGGAGTCCTCCTGGGGCCAGACTTCAGGCCCTCATCCCCTGACACTGATGGCAAGTGAATGACTAAATTGGCCAAATATAAAAGCCACCATAAATCTGGTATTTTCCTTTAAGCTGTCAGGTACACAGAATGTCCCAGATTATTGATAGAAAAAATTATGTTTGGGCTGCATCTTAAAATCAAAATGCATTACCCCAAATCAGTGTCACTTACACAGCATGGGTAGGACAGGAAAGGTCAGCTGAGACAAAAATATCGAAACCAAAACTCCAAGAGGACCCAAGCATTAAAATAAATAAATTTTGAAAGTGAATTCCTGGAAAAACATTCATTAGGGCTGTAATTTAAAGGTGGTTTCACAAGAGGCCAAGAAGTTTTTTTAAATAGCGCTTTCTGTAGTGCCTTTGAAAGTCCAGTGAATCCATCCACAAAATGGTATTGACAAGTACTGCACACCCCAACTTGCAGCCCAGTCATCATGGCGCGTGATAATGGCAGGTGTGAGAGCTGAAGGTGGCCACAAGCAAGCCCCCTGGCAGCCAAATGGGCAGACCAGGGCAGAGGGCCTCTGGTCACCACTTACCAGGAGGAGGGTTCACCTCCAGACCCCTGTATGCAGTGATCCTGCAGGCATTTCGGAGCCCATGGATGGAGAGAGGGAGGGAAAAACCTTGCAGCCCAAAGGGTGGTGTCTGTCCGTTCCTACTGATGAGCAGTCAGGATTGGAGATGGAACAGTTCTGAAATGTTCACACAAGCCCATCAGTGGAAAACTGGCTTCATATCACATGACCAACATTGTCTCCAAACAGGGCATCTTTGTGGGCCCCTAGAGATACTGGCAGTTGGTAGGAATGAGTGGCTGTGTCTCCAGGGAGAAGTCTCCCCTGGGAAAGCAACACATATGCTCCATCACAGATGCCTTCTTTAGAGCCTCCAACTGAGACCATATCCCACAACAGTGCAGCAGGGGGAACTGGCTTCACTGCAGGAGAGGGGCAGCCAGGCATTGGTGAGGACTGGCACTATCTGCAGCCTGGTTTCCACTAGCCAAAGGGCTAGATCAAAGAGGCCAAAGCCCGTGCCCTGCCACCAGGAGACCCTCAGCCAAGCAAAGGCTAAGTGCCTCTTCCTTCACCTGGAACAGTGCTCCAACATTCCCTGAGCCCTGAGCAAGGGACAGGCCCTGCTGGGAGCTAAAGACTCAGAGAAGAAAGATGCAGCAGCTGCCCTCAGAGTCTACAAGTGGGAACAGAAGAACAAACAGACCTTTTCAGTACAGAGCTGCTGTGCATTGCTGAGCAAGCAGGGAAGAAGCCACCAGGCTAGTTCAGGCTCTACACCAACTCCAGGTACAGGGTCCAGAATCTCACCTACAGTAGGGATAACCTGGGTGTTTGGTTAAGAATTAGGACCCCAGAGTAAGACAGACCTGGGTTGAAGCCTTACTCATCTGCTTACTAGCCATGTGACCTTGGGTTAGTTCCTTAAGTCTCCGAACTTCAGCCACCACATCTCTAAAATGGGGTGAAATCACAGTGTCTACCATACAGGATTGTTGTAGGGGTTAAATGAGCTAGTTTATTCACCTTCACCTCACAAAAAATTATCGAGCTCCTACTCTATGCCAGACCTGTTCTGGGTGCTGGAGATACATCAGCAAACAAAGCAGTCAAAGAGCCCCATCCCAGGAGAGACTACAAACCACAAAGAAGCAGCACGATAAATGAATACACCATACCATGTGTCAGAAGGTGGTTAGTGCTGAGGAAAGGAGGAAAAGGAGAGCAGGATGAGGGGCTGAGAGTGCTGGGAGGACATGCCACATCCCACCTGCAGTATTAAGATGGTGGTGCCAGTGGGCCCCATTGAGGAGGCAACTTCTCAACAGATATCCCAAGAACATGACAGAGAGTGAACCAGGTATCTGGGCAAGGAGTAGCCCAGTCAAATGATGCAGCTGGTGCAAAGGTCCTCGGGTGGGGTGCAAAGGTCCTCGGGTGAGAGCATACCCAGTGCACTACATTGTAAGGAGGCCAATGCAGCTAGAGGTGTGTGATCAAGGAAAGGACAGAAAACACAAGATAAGAACAGCACAGTGGAGAGGGAAGACATATAGTCTGACCTTGCCAGCCATTGCAAGGCCCTGGTGCTATCCTGAGTGAAAAGGGAGCCACTGCAGGGTTTTGAGCAAAGGAAGAGTGATCTGATTTCTGTTTGAGAAGGATCTCATGATTTTCATGTTGAGAACTAAGGCATGGAAAGTATGTCACCAGTGCCTGATATATGAAAAGCATGTGAAAAGGCATAGGTATTATCCTGATTAATGATAACACCAACTCATGCAGTGAGCAAGTAACCCCTTACCCCACAAACCTTTAAAAGCTTCACAAACCTTAAAGGTAACCAAGGTATATCTATCTCCCTCTAGCTGCAGGAATTATGTCCTTGTGCATCCCTGATCACTGGCCATCCATCTGTGCTTGTATCTTGTATTAGGACAGGAGATTGCTGCCTTTCCAGGCACTTTCCACTGCACAGTGGGCTAGTTCTTGCCATCAGAATCCTGCTTGCAATCAATGAATCCGCTTTCCTAGAATCCCACCAAGATCCTGAATCTGAATAGCGCAGTGCAAGTCTGCCCCCTCCCTTTAGAAGCTGAGGACAGCAGTGGGGCCCTGCAGGGTCTTACATTCAGCAATCCAAGGCAGTTTCTTAAAGAAGGTGGGATTTCTAAGGGAAAGCTCCTTTGTCCAGGGAGGAGGAGTTACGGGGGAATGAAACGACAGGAGGTAGATGGCAACTGCCTCTTTGGGCTGGGGCCTCTTGGAGGAACTGCAAGTAGAGAAGGAAAGCCCTAGACATTCCTCCCTTCCTGGCCAGAGACCTTGGCAAACAAAGGCTCAATAGATGAGCATCAATAACCTGACGGGACAGGAATGACTCCTTGACCACAAATGAGGATACTGACACCCAGGCCTGGGAGGGGCAAAGGGCACTGTCTAGGGGGCACCTCGCTGGTAAGAACAAAGCTTACAAAGGGCCTGGAAGTTCTTCCCCTCTGAGGCTTTGCCCTTGGCAGCTGGACCAGGTCTGCTGCTGGGAAGTATTTGCTGTCTTGGTTTCCTTCTCTGTGGTTATTGGGGAACCCTCTTGTGGTGCCCCCAAGAGTCAGGTGAGGAAGGGAAAGCAGACACCTAAGTGAAGGGTGCTTACTCCAACCACAGGTCAGAGCTGAGAAGCTAGGAGCAAGGGGATAGGGGCAGAGATACCGAAACCCACTGACTGAGGACTTCAGTGGGAAGGGAAGCAAGAGAGCCTCACACACAGCTTTGGGACTCGCCCCTAAACTGTGTGCCTGTGCGAACCACAGGCCCTCCCTACATTTCCCTTTGGGGACAAGGCCGCACAAACGCACAGGGCCAGGGAGGCGCAGGCTCTGGGTGAAGGCTGGGAAAGGTACGGTGATGAAGGGGATGCGGGGGATGGGCTCCGAAACGCGGCTGCGGACCCAACCGTTCCCTTTAACCGCCCCGGGATTCCCCCCTTAAACCCGGTAAAGGGAATACCAAGACCAGAGAAGAACGCGTGGGGACGGAAGGCCAGCGATCGAGGTGCAGGAATCCCAACCCCGCCCGGAAACCTCCGGGGCACTGAGTCGTGCCTGCGCTCCCCACCCCACCCCACCCCACCCCACCCCCGCCGCCTCTGCCGTCACTCACGGCCGCTGCTCGCTAGCTCGCTCGTGCGCTCTCAGCGCCACAGGCACCTGCTGGCCGGACGCTCTGCGCTCACTTCTCGCTCGCACACTGCAGACTCCCGGTGCTGCCGCCGTCACCCGGCCTAGTCCCCGGCCCAGCACAGCGCTCCGCCCTTCTCTCGGGTCCCTGGTGCCCACCCACCAGTCATGGCCTGGGCCTGGTACAAAGAGCGGTGCAGCTCTTTGCCCAAACCGGGGTAAGGAGTTGAGGGCGGGGGACTGCGGAGAGAGCCTTGGGACACGCGGGGTGCAGGGATAAGCGGCAGGCTCTGGCAATGGTGATCGGGAAGAAGCCAGGGAGAGTTTGGGTGAGAGAGGACACCCAGCCAAAGCGAGTGCCGGGCGGGGCTGCGCTCCACCCAGAGGGACTATGGTCCCTCCAAACGACCTCCGCGGGGGTGAGCGCTCCAAGGCGGGGGCGGTGCCGCTGTGGAAGGGGAGGAGAGGGGAGGGCGGGGGTAATGTAGCGGTGGAGGCGGCTCGACGCCCAGCCACTGACCGCCCCTTCCTTTCCCTGCCCCTTCCCCTCCCCCTCTCCTCGCCTCACTCCTGCTCTGGGTCCGCCACGCCGGACCCGCTTTCCCGGCGCTGCGCTGGGTCGGACGCCAGGTCCTCGCGCCGCGGCTGAGCGCCCACTCGCGTTGCGGAAAGAGCCGCCGAGGGACCGGCGGGGGCTGCGGCGGGGGAGCTCGGCGGGACCCGGAGGAAGTGGCAGTCGGGAGCCAAACCAGGAGACCGGGAGGCGCGCACTCCCTTGGCCAGGGATGGGTCCTGGCGCGGCCCAGCCTCTGCCCGGCCCGCAGGGCAGAGACTGAACTGCAGTTCCCCATCGTTCTGCGGACTGCCGGATAGAGAGAGTCACGGACCTATAGCCAATAACCTCCCGACGGGACCTCGCGCTCTGCGCACCCCGCGCAGCGCCCCCCTCCGGAGCCGCACCGGGCAAGCGGGCGAGGGAGCGGGACTGATTGGCGGCCGCCGGCGGCGGGGGTGGGGGCGCCGCGCGAGGCCATGGCAGGCTCGGAGGCGTCCTAGCCTGAGCCCGAGCCGAATCCAAGCCCACGCTGCCGCCACCGCCGCCTCTCCGCGCCCGGGCCCCCGCCGCCGCCGCGCCCCCCGCGGGAAATGGAACAGCGGAACCGGCTCGGCGCCCTCGGATACCTGTCCCCGCTGCTGCTGCACGCCCTACTCTTCGTGGCCGACGGTGAGCGCGGGAAGTTTGCTGCCGCGGGGTGCTCGGGGGGTCCTTACCGGAGCCACCAGAGCCATCCTGTCCTGGTCGCCACGGAGGAGGAGGAAAAGAAGGGGAAGGCTTCACGGTCTCCAGCAATCCCGGTGTGCAGCCAGGGCCCGGAGGGTTAGGGGGAGGACAGCAGTAAAGGGTCGCCGCAGCGGCGGCACCGGTGCCCGGGTCATTATGAGAAGAACCGATGCTCCAGCTGCGGAGAGGCGGCTTGCGGGACGCGGGAGTTGAAGTGCCCCAGCCTGGATTAGGTAGTGCCGCCCGGCGCGGGAGTACAGCGTAAACCGCTCCTGCTGCCCCGCCCGATCCGGTGGGATGCAGCCTGCAGCGGTAAACGGTCTCTGCTGTGGCCCCGTAGCTGCTCAACCCAACTTTGGTAGTGCCTGGGCCACGCGTATAGCAGGGAGGAGGTTGGTGGGAAGCACAGGACAGCGAGCCGGGGACTCAGTCTCGCCTCCGGTGGCCCCAGGCCTCCGCCCCACAGCTGGTCACGCCTCTCTCTTCCCCCGCCCCCAGCTACATTTACCGAAGTCCCCAAAGATGTGACAGTACGGGAGGGAGACGACATCGAAATGCCCTGCGCGTTCCGGGCTAGCGGAGCCACCTCATATTCGCTGGAGATTCAGTGGTGGTACCTCAAGGAGCCGCCCCGGGAGCTGTTTCACGAGCTTGCGCTCAGCGTGCCCGGCTCCCGGAGCAAGGTAACCGCCGCCCAAGCGGCGCCAGTGATCCCCGGCCTAGGCTGGGGCGGTTGGGCTAACCCCAGCCAGGAAGGTAGGGTGCAGGCCTGTGGAGCAACCCATCTTCCACCCTCCCGGTCCCTACAACACGTTCAACAAAAGCAGTTGTTACCCACAGGTTGTGTGAATTCGTTCCCGTCTCCTGAAAGCTCCCAGAGCTCTATGCCTAACGACTAAAAAGTCACACCTCACCCAGGTCACCTGCTCTTGCTTGGAGCTTCGGGCCCAGAGTCTGAAGGGTGCTGGGTGGTCAAGAAGACCGCTAGATCCGGCCAGGCTTTCCCTGCCCTCTCCCACTCTGAGGTCCCCAGGTCCCAGGACCAAGGAGTTAAGTTCCTCCCTGCTGGGATCCAGAGCCCGGCAGAGTAATGTGTACTGAGAAGCCAGCAGGTCACCTCCAGCCTCCACAGGATCAGAGGGACGGCCCCACTGCCAGTCTACCTCTTAAACCATCGACTCTTACACACACACACACACCCCTACCCTCTACCCACGGTCCCATCGGAGTTAATGCTCACGTCTCCCACTGGGTCCTGTCCAGATACACCGGCCCCTCCATTCAGCTTTTCACAGAATTTAGAGAAACGCAGCAGGGAATGAGGACGCTCTGCGGAAGGAAGGTGGGCTTTCCTTCCCGCCCCGGTGGCAATCCAGCCTCCCCTCTTTGGCCGGCATATGTGCTAGGGCAGCTCCTTGGGCAAGCTCCGTACTAGCTTCAAGCCCTGCTTCCCTCCGGGTAAAATTCCCGGAAATCCTGATGTCCTTCGTGCCCTCAGCCCCAGCTACATCCTGAGTGGTTTCCAGTCCCAGTCCGCGCGCGGCGTGTCCCCGTATGGGTGGCGCATCTGAGTTCTCCGAGCCTGAAGGCCGAAAGCCTAATGTCTCTCTCTCCCTCTTTGCCTTTTAGGTAACAAATAAGGATGCAACTAAAATCAGTGTAAGTGTGGAGCCCAGCGCGGGCCGCGGGAGACCCCTTCTGGCCGCCTCGCGCCCCGCAGTTTTTTTCCCTTTTAGAAAGGCTCCGCGGCTGTGCGGTGTAGGGCCCTGCTCGCAGCTCTGTATTGTCGGGAGCTTGGCGTGTCGCGGCGCCATCTGTCGCCGTTAATGGGATCGGGTTCTCTTTTGTGTAAATCAGGACGCCGAGGCCCGGAACCCCTTCCTCCGCTCCATGCTCCTGTGTAAAACCGTCCTGTGTCGGGACAGGGCTGTCTGGCCCCTGCGCGTCTGCCTGCCTCTCCTCTGCGGGCACTGCTCCCAGCAACTGAAGCGCGCTGCTCCTCGCCTGGCTGCCACCCGAGCTCTGGGTTGTGAGCCCCACCCCCACGCACGCCCGGCGCCCTCAGCTGCAGCCCTCTCTGTTCCAAATGGGTTGCGAGTCTAGGTGCCGGGTGCCCTGGGCTCGCTGGGGAGGAGGAGCCGGAAGTCTTGCACGGCTGCACGAGGCCAGGGTCATGGTGCTCGTAACTCATGTAGGAGAGGCACCCGAGCTTTCCCAACTGGTGCGTGGAAGTATCAGGGCCTGGAGATGCCCAGGCCCTCCTCATGCGCCCATTTCAAGGTCAGGATTTGCTGGGTGCTTGGTGAGGGCTACAGAGCGGTTGCTTTCCCTCGTCTCCAGAGAACCGCGGGGAGAAGCGCTTCGTCGGGAGCCTCAGGCTGCTGCGCAAAAAAGGCAGATTCATAACTAGCAGGGGACCAGGGGGTGCGGCCGCAGTCTCAGCGTCTCCTGCCTCCTTGGAAGGGCGGAAGGTTAGGGAGCAGGTATATACGTGTATTTTGAGAACAGGCGGCTTTCCTTCAGGCACCGCTCAGGCCCTCCGGATTCTAGAATAAAGGAATGTTAGTGAGAGTAGATATGGAGGGCCAGAAATGAGGCCACACCGGAAAGACGTGGGATGATTGGCGACAGGAGCCTAATCTGAGGTTTCTCCAAGGTGCAGGAGGGAGGAAGGAGGGTGGGTTCTGCGCTTTGAAGTGAAAGCTCTGGGAAGGCGTGAACCTTTCATTTATGTGGGCAGGGGGATGCAACATGAGGTGTTCGGCTAAGGTGATAGAAAACTGGGGACACGGTGCAATGGGCAGGGTGCCACCCAGGGTCCAATCAGAGTTGGGAGCCCCCGGCCCCTGCGGAGACACGGAATGACAAGCAAACTGGATGATAGGTCTGAGAAGTGCTGGGGTGCTGTGGCATGGGGGAGCAATGGCAGGAGTGGGTGCGGCTGTACCACACTGGTCCGGGAGAGCAAGTTGTGGGCCTGCCCATCCCAACCTCTGACCTCAGCCCCCGCTCTCTTGCAGACGGTGCGCGTCCAGGGCAATGACATTTCGCACCGACTGCGGCTGTCAGCCGTGCGGCGGCAGGATGAAGGCGTGTACGAGTGCCGCGTGTCGGACTACAGCGACGACGACACGCAGGAGCACAAGGCCCAGGCTCTCCTGCGCGTGCTCTCGCGGTTCGCGCCGCCCAACATGCAGGCCGCCGAGGCCGTGTCCCACATTCAGAGCAGCGGTCCCCGTCGCCACGGCCCCGCCAACGCCAATAATGCGATCTCAGCGGGCCGCGCCACTTCCGAGCCTGACCGCGGCGACAAAAGCCCGCCTCCCGGAAGCCCTTCCGCCATCCCCGGTCCGCGAGTACTTGAGGCCGCCGCGGCGTCCACGGCCCACGCAGCCACCACCACCGTCACGGCCGCAGCCGCTGCTTCGTCAGCGTCGCCCCCACCCTACCAGGCGGTCCTTCTGCGCCAGAAGCACGGCTCGGGTAAGGGTGGGTGCAGAGTTGGGGCGCGCTCACGCTGGGGCTGCGGGTTGGCGTCCCTAGCTGGCTCTCCCCGTGGGGCAGCCCCACTCGGGTCATTTGCGTATGCTTAGTGCTTCATTGTTCACTTAAGTGGGTGCCCTCAGGGCGCGTTTTCCACAGCCACACTTAGGCCCTCTTTTTGTTGTTTTCTTGTCTTTATTGTTGGCTGCTCGAATCATTCACCACAGGTACTTATGACTGTGGAGGCTGTCCAGCCACTGACCTCTGGGTACACGCGAGGCTGAGGCTTGGGGACCCCTCTCTTGAGTTTAGAGAACTGGACTCCGAGGGCTGCGCCGGTACACCAGGACTTATTTCCTGGAGCCCTTAAGGGCAGAGGGTGGGATACTAGCTTGCTGTGGAGAGTGAATTAAGGCCTTGTAAGTCTGGACGCTGCTTGACTTTGTGGAACAGATGGATCTGCTACCAATAGCCACTCCAGTTCCCTTTGAGCCCTCCTGGAGGGGTTGTGGAGTGAGGATGGAGCCTTACCATTGTCAGGAGGGCACCCAGAGGTTAAGGCCTGCTTTCCTAGGGAGCTGGGAGGGTTGGTGGGGAGGGAGATGAGAGGGCAGTTAGAGAGCAGCCCAGGAAAACGGACTGACTGATAGGACAGGCAGCCCTGGGGCAGGAGGGGCTACTTGGCAGTAGTAGGGTAAAGATTTATGGAGGATGGAGGAGCCTACTGCCCAGGGTGTCTTTCCTCCCAAAGCATTCCCCACTCCTTCCACCTGCTCAAAATGAGTTTCAGAGATGGGCTCAGATCCAGTGTTCACTCCCTATCTGATTTTAGGCAAGTCACTGCCTCTCTGAACCTCAGTTCCCAGTCTTGTTTGATGTGTTGTCCCTCAGCATCTCTACTGGCCTAGCAGCACTGGGAGTCTGAATTCTGGGACAGTGACATATAAACCTTCCCACTGGGGAGGAGTACACTGTCATACCCTACTCTCAAGGTTTTCAATGTGCAGACCACTTGTTACCCTCATCAGAGATTGTTAAGAACATAGGCTCCTGGGTTATCTGATGAATCCAAAGTGACAGGTATCCTAGCCTACCTGTCTGGCTAATTCTTAAGCCTTCAGTTGAGACCCTGCCAGTCTGTCTTCCATATCAGTTCAGTTATTTCTTACTCAGTTACATCCCCTGTGGAGGCTTCTGGCTGGATCTAGAGGCCTCATTCCTATTAGGCTCCACGTAGCAACAGGCTATGGGACGAGGTGGGTCAGCTGGGACCTGTGAAGAGCCTTTCCCCACACAGCCCCAAGCTCCCCTACCTGACTTGGAACTTTCTATCCCCCATACTAGTTTAAGGTAATACTTGCTGCTGTGACAAGAAACCTCCAAATGCCAGTGGCTTAACACAATTCAAATATATTATTTCTGGTTCATATCAAGTGCTGCTCTGGAGTTGTGGGTATGGTAGCTCTGTTCCATCCAGGGACCTACACTGATTGAGACTCTACCATCTTCCACGAGTAGCTTCCAAGGTCACTCTGGGCATCGAAATATGGTTAGCAGACAAGAAAAGAGAGAATGGAAGCAGCCCTTCTCAGCACAGTACTGTGAGAGGACCAACCCTAATGCTCTGTACAATAAGGCATACACTGTGTTTAATGAATTGGCTGCTTTCTTATGCATTTAGAATGTATATATCATTCTTAAAAGATTGAGAAAATAGCCGCTCACTTAATTTTGGTAGGGCTTAATTCTCTCAGAGAAAAGCTAGTGTAGAGAATGGCAAGGGAAGTTTTTAAGAGCCCGGACTATGCAGAAGTGGTAAATATTACTTCCACCCTCATCCACTGGCCAGAACTCAATCACGTGATCCAGCATAGATGCAAAGCAAGCTGGAAAAGTTAGTCCTTGGATTGTCAGCTGTTTTCCAGCTTCATCCCTCCACAGCAGAAAGAGAGTGTTAGCCATCTCTATCTAGCATACAACAGATTCAATGAAAAAGTACTTACTGATTTGTAGAGTGATTGGCTTAGTTGATGCTGGTTGGTGATAAAAGGCCTTTCTGTCCTATTCTCCTCGGCCTCAGCAAATAAGTGTGTATCTCAAACTGGAACATTCCTCTATGATATTCCATAGACCATGAGTAGAGCAGCAAAGCAGAGGATTTGGAAGGCAGAAGCCTAAATGTGAGTTGTGCCTCTGCAGCTTGTTGGCTGTGTGACTTTAAGCAAGTGGCTTCACATCTCTGAACATATTTCTTCATCTGTAAAATAGACAGAGTTGAGTGTGGGAACTGCTGCATAAATGTTCATAATTATCATCACAGCCATTACATGCTCTGACAGGAGAGGAGAGATGAAGGACATAAAGCTGAGTGGTTGGTAGTTGGAGGCCAAGCTGTGGAGAACCTTGAATGCCAAGTGGAGCCAACCAGAACCATTAAAGGCCAAGGTCAAGGAAGTGCCATGCAAAAGAAATCTTTGAGAATAAACACAAAAATGTCAGTGAGGCAAAGGTCACAAGCTTATTCCTGCTTGAATCTCCCTCTTCTCCTGGCCAGAGCCTGACACCCTGAGCCCAATCAAGGCTGATCTAACTGTGCACGGCAGGGCTGATCAGATCTCCTCCAAACTCAGGACTGGCCACAGGGCAACTCATCCCCACAGCAGGGGACCCAGCCGTGGAAGGTGGCACTAGACAGTGCTCTTCTTCCTAGAAAGTCTGGGGGTCCTCAGGGCAGCTCAATTCTGATGATAGAGTGCCAAGAGCCTTCCAGCTGGTGGGACCTTGGACTCCCACCAACTAAAGGGCAGCACATTGATACCCACATACATCAGAGCAACAGCCTAGGCCAGGGGCTCCTCTGCCCTCCCTGGAGTGGGAAGTAGGGTTCATTTACCTCCAGAAGCACAGCCATCTGGGCTCCCAGCAGTACTGACAGGGCAGTGCCACTAGGAGAAGAGGTATGGTAACCCCTAAAGTCTCTGTCATCCAAAACCCTTGCCAGCCCCTGAACAGGCCAGGAACCATGCAGACACATCTCAGAAAGAACCCCAAGTTTCTCTCCAGCTCCCTTTCAGAAGACCAGCAAGGTGGGATTTCAGCTGGAAGATCAGAAAACCTGTGTCCTCTGCTCCTCAGGTTAAGCCCTTGGAAGAGTCATGTGCAATGGGCACCTGAGTGTCCTTTCTGGGCATGTGGAAATGGGTTAAATGACTTCTAATCCACAGACATACCCAAATTGCCTTGATCCCAAGAAGGTACAATGCTGCCTTATGTGTCCCATCTCACCCGACCACCCAGGCTGTGGGCTGTCAATGGGGCGAAGCATGCAGACCATGTTTTGTGTGGCAGGCATTAACCTTTCTGTAGGGCTGTGTCATTAAGCAGCCCAGGGTCCTGCTGAGCCTCCCCGGGATGCAGCAGGCCAACTGATTGCTCAGAGGCACCAGCAGCATGAGCCAACAGGGAGCTCAAGGCAGCAATCTCAGGTGTGGCCTCTCCAGCTCATGGTTCTCAGCAGCTTAGAGGGGAGGGGACCAGGAAGGACTTTTGCCACGTGATTAATAGCAAGAGTGTTTGCCGAGGTCAGGGTGCTGGCAAAGTAGATGGCACATTTAAACAGGGTTACACAGAAGAGGTGATGAGAGTAGTTGTTAAAGGTGTGGACAAGGGTGGGGCAGCCAATGAAGAATGAGTGCTGACCCCAGGGCTAGCCACAGCAGGAACCATTAGCACCTCCACCTGAAGGAGCAAAGGGAAAACAATTGGCAGAACCCAGAGAGGACTGGGAAGTCTCCCTGACAGGAACTGTGGCCTTGGTAGAGGGATGCAGCCAATCCATAGAAGTCCAGGACTTCATGCTCCTCCTGCCCTCCAGTCTCCTGCCAAGGCCTCCCATTAGCCAGACCCTCCTGGGAGCTGAAGGCAAAAGCACCCAGCTGATGTGACCTGTAGAAGCCAGTCTCTAGGGACTCAGAGCAGAGTGGAGAAGGTGGATGGTAGATCTTGGGGGGACAAAGGGAATAGCCCAGCTCTCAAGGGGAGGATGATGGATTCCACTCCACCCCAACTCCAGGATAAACCCAGCTGAATTTCTAATTAAAGAGTTCCTCCCAGAAGGAGGGTTGCATGCACTCTCAAGCCATTTCAATTGGCAACTTAAGGAATGGTCCCAGCCCACCACCCCTAACAATCACCCATGAAGTGGTTGCTCCTTGAAGAAAGTCAGGAAAAGTCCCAGACAATGCTACATTGTTCTGTTTTTTAAGTGACATGCTTTGGTAATGCCAGGAAAAGAAGGTGGGGGGGGGGGGTACTTATTCAAGTCTCCATCCCTTAGCTACCACAGATCCAAAACCCTTCCTTTGCCCAGTATGTGCCATCAGGACTGGCCACAGGGCAACTCATCCCCACAGCAGGGGACCCAGCCGTGGAAGGTGGCACTAGACAGTGCTCTTCTTCCTAGAAAGTCTGGGGGTCCTCAGGGCAGCTCAATTCTGATGATAGAGTGCCAAGAGCCTTCCAGCTGGTGGGACCTTGGACTCCCACCAACTAAAGGGCAGCACATTGATACCCACATACATCAGAGCAACAGCCTAGGCCAGGGGCTCCTCTGCCCTCCCTGGAGTGGGAAGTAGGGTTCATTTACCTCCAGAAGCACAGCCATCTGGGCTCCCAGCAGTACTGACAGGGCAGTGCCACTAGGAGAAGAGGTATGGTAACCCCTAAAGTCTCTGTCATCCAAAACCCTTGCCAGCCCCTGAACAGGCCAGGAACCATGCAGACACATCTCAGAAAGAACCCCAAGTTTCTCTCCAGCTCCCTTTCAGAAGACCAGCAAGGTGGGATTTCAGCTGGAAGATCAGAAAACCTGTGTCCTCTGCTCCTCAGGTTAAGCCCTTGGAAGAGTCATGTGCAATGGGCACCTGAGTGTCCTTTCTGGGCATGTGGAAATGGGTTAAATGACTTCTAATCCACAGACATACCCAAATTGCCTTGATCCC